CCTCCACCACAGCTATGTTAATCCCCCACCACTACCCGGGAGGGTTTATGGAGTGGCTTCTTCTCTTAATTAATTCTTTAAGAAGTCTGATAGTTTCTCGTCTAAATTTATGGAGTGTGATCCTCTGTAGTTTGTCTTCTTCACTTTGAAGTTGTCTTCTCCTCCTTGACTTTCTAATTCTTTTTCTCCCTTCAAATTGTCTCCTTGATTTTCTAATTCTTTTTCTCCCTTCAAATTGTCTCCTTGATTTTCTAATTCTTTTTCTCCCTTCAATTTGTCTTCTCCTTGATTTTCTAATTCTTTTTCTCCCTTCAAATTGTCTCCTTGATTTTCTAATTCTTTTTCTCCCTTTAAATTGTCTCCTTGATTTTCTAATTCTTTTTCTCCCTTCAAATTGTCTCCTTGATTTTCTAATTCTTTTTCTCCCTTCAAATTGTCTCCTTGATTTTCTAATTCTTTTTCTCCCTTCAAATTGTCTCCTTGATTTTCTAATTCTTTTTCTCCCTTCAAATTGTCTCCTTGATTTTCTAATTCTTTTTCTCCCTTCAAATTGTCTCCTTGATTTTCTAATTCTTTTTCTCCCTTCAAATTGTCTTCTGTTTTGACTTTGAAATTGTTTACTCCTTATTGATTTCATTTTTTTTTCTTTTTTTTTCTTTGATTTTGTGTTGTTCTCCTTGACTTTGTTATTGTTTTTTCGTCTTTGAAATTGTTTGTTTTTTAATTTCGTACACCTCTTTTTTTTCTTTATTTTTCATTTTTTTTGGTTATTTTCCAGTTTTTCTTATTTTCCACCGTTTTTTCCTTCATTTTGCACCCTCTTTATATTCTAGTAGGTTTTATATTTTTTCGACATTTTCCTTATTTTTTTCCCCTTTTTGTACACCCTTTTCTATTTCCCATCCATTTTAACCTTTATTTTCCAACTTTTTCAGTTTTTTTCGGATTTATTCTCTATTTTCCATTTTTCTTTATTTTCCAGATTTTTCTTTTTTTTTCAAAAGTGTTATTGCTTTCTTTCTCTCTTATTTTACACACGTTCCTTTCCACATAAATATCTATTACTATAAATAGAGGAATGGGAGGGAGACTCGAACTGTGGTCCACGGGAGTGGCAGGTCCAGTGTTGTATCCGCTTAGCCGCCAGAGTTCTTAATACATCTTTGTTTTCCACTCTACATTAATGTATTGCGTCTTATTTGTCTCCTGTATGTGTGGATGTGTGTGTTTGTGTTTGTCATGTTTGTTTTTTCGCGTTTTTTTGTGGTTGCTTTTACGTGTAAGGAAATATTTTTCTTTAGGCTGAGGATGGTTGGAAAGTGAAATGACTTGGATGATTCAGTGGTGGAGGAGGAGCCAGGAGCTGAGTCTCGACCCCCGGTACAGCTCTGGGCATGTCATCCAGGATTGCTACGTGCCCTGTTGGTAAAGGGCTCTTGATCCGAGAAATTTTAGGTATCCTCCAAATCATGTTGAGTACAAATAGGAAACGCGTCTGTCTAGCACTCAGCAGACGGAGGATCAAGCCTCCACTATCTTTTACGCTGTATGTGACGCACATAGTATTATTTACCCTCCTTATCCTCGGGTTAAACCTGTTATATTAAGCAATTATATACATCAAAAATATTTTTAATTTCCAGAATAACCCATTTGAGCACTTCATTTTTCACAGGTCTGGCCAGTAGGAGGGACAAAACTCGACGATTTTCTCACCAGACGCATTCAACAGGGAGACACATGCGGCCACGTTTGCCCACACCCCTGGAGCTCCTGCCCACCTCTCTCAAGTAAGTACTTGTGTCAGCTGAGTGTTGTGAGTGGTATCCTGGGAAGAACGTTAAGAAGCTCCAGTACCACCAGCCTGGTGGATCAGGCCAGCAGTCAGGAGGCCTGGTCTGTGACCGGACCGCGGGGGCGGTGACCCCCGGAGCACTGAGATAAAACTCAGAGATATCAGAAGCTGTGAAAAGGAAAAGATGTGATCACGCCATCAACCAGAGTCACTGCAAGTTGTTTATATTGCAGTGACGTGGAATGATGGCAGTTTTTTGTGCTTGTTCATGCGCTTGTTTTGGTTGGACTGTTTTATTTTGGTCGGACTGTGTTTTATGCAAAATTGGAGCTTTTTTCCTGTTCTTCGATGCAATCCTTATTACCTCCTATTTAACGGGTCGTTATTCAATTTCCTCTTACATTTCCCACACCTATCAAGCTGTCCTACTTCCCTCTTCCATATCCCTGTCTATCATCCTGCATACTCGCCTCTTTCTGCCTCCCTCGTTCTTTCTGCCACTTGCTCGTCTTCTCTGCCACTCCCTCACTCTCTCCCACTTCCTCGCTCTCTCTGCCCCTCGCTCTCTCTGCCCCTCCCTCTCTCTGCCCCTCCCTCTCTCTGCCCCTCCCTCTCTCTGCCCCTCCCTCTCTCTGCCCCTCTCTCGCTTTCCCCGCCCTCCCTCCCTCTCTCTGCCACTCCCTCGCTCTCTCTACCCCTCCCTCGCTCTCTCTACCACTCCCTCGCTTTCTCTGCCACTCCCTCGCTTTCTCTGCCACTCCCTCGCTCTCTCTACCCCTCCCTCCCTCTCTCTACCACTCCCTCGCTCTCTCTGCCACTCCCTCGCTTTCTCTGCCCCTCCCTCACTTTTTCTGCCACTCCCTCGCCCTCTCTGCCACTCCCTCGTTCTCTCTGCCACCACCAGGATCCTCCAGGTCACTAGAGGGCGTAGAGAGTGACTCTGTCTTGACCAGCCTCGTATATACCTCTGAGATCTCCTTCACCCACCTCTTCAGTACATTTACCACCTGACAGCATTTCCAAGATCCTCCCTCTCATTTTAACCCAATTTAAATCGTATTGCAAGAATATCAAGCGGCGAAAATGCACATAGAATCTAAATTTGTGATTAAACTCTCATGTCAGCTTTAAGAGGTAGGGCTATAGAGGTGAGAATAGACGAAGTCTGTGAAAAAATACTAGGATGGGGAGGGCGGGCACAATCAGCTGATACGAATGTAAACAAGGCTGACACGTGCTTCTGTTTACAACAGTGACAATTAAAATTAATGCCCAGTGGAGCGTGGATGCCCCTGTTTACACATCCTCTGATTTATTTGTTAATTTATGTGTTTATGCCTTTTTCATTCAGTAATGTATTAATTAAATGGCATTTCATATATTTGTTCCCCAGTGTTTTGTGCGTATTAACGAATGCGCACACTACGCTCGTGCACGCACGCACGCACGCACACACGCACACTCACACGTTATTTAATACCCATTGTGCAAAAAGCATTCCATTTTATATTGAACATAGTCATTATAATTTTAAAAATAAAAATCAATGGAAAAGTATCGGTATCGGCCGGAAATTTTGATATCGTCCCATATATATATATATATATATTATATATATATATATATATATATATATATATAAATATATATATTATAATATATATATATATATCACACGTTCATTTTCCAAGTTAAGGTACACTAAAAAAATTTTATAGACTAAAAGAAAAATTAGAAATATAATTGATTTTCCTTGAACGAACTAAAATTTGCAGAGAGAATTATTTCCCGAAATGATGTAAACATCAGATGGGGTAAAAAAGGAAATACAGTCTACCTCACATCTCCCCAACATCTCATTTACTTGCAATGTTGTTGGTACCTGGAGAACTGTGTACTGGGTCTTAGTATGTGCTGGAGTCGTATAGTTCATTGGAACAAGTTAAAGTACAATTCCTGAGAACAATGATCATTAGGTTCGTACGTTGGACTACGTGCGGCCAGCAGTAACGGCCTAGTTGATCAGGCCCTGATCCACCGGGAGGCCTAGTCAAGAACTGGGCCGCGGGGTCGTTGACCCCCGGAATACCCTCCAGGTAGACACCTATACGACCCCTACACATACACTGACGCCCAGCAAATACTTCTCCATCTACCAGCAGCATTTCCGCTTTTGCCTCGTCTCGCAATGTTAAATTATTGCAAAAAAAAAAAAGAAAAAAATCTGAGATCATTCGTATAAATGCAGATTTGTACAAAATATGTACAAAGAGTATAGTCATGTCTCTCGAGGTGCCACTAGTTAATGGTTCAAGTCGGACCGAAACGTCGTCATAAGTTTCTCTCTCCAATGTGCGGGTTATTTGTGTATTATTCCAGTCACGGTATTGTGAGTTTTTTCCTCGTGGGTAATCAAAACGTTGTGGCTATGATGCAGCCTACATCACCTCAAGGTCGCTGGAAGAAAAAGGGATTGGTGAATTAGACACATGTGCAACATCTGGGTATCTTTACTTGTTGACGTTTCGCCCTCCAGTGGCTTTATATGGTCTTAATGTGAAGGCTGTGGAACTATAACAGAAGACAGATTTCAGGTTATGTACCTGTATTGATAAAGCCACTGGATGGCGAAACGTCTGCAAGACGTGTCTAATTCATCATCTTGATATACAAAAAACGGGTTATGTACGACGTAACTGTTGCTGTTACTACGTTTCTTATAGGTCTGGATTTTATAACGTGTGTTAATAAGCATTTACCAATATGGTTCGTTGTAGATTAACCTAACATGAAAAGTTCATCGAGGTGGTGAGACAGATTCTTTTCTCGTAAAATATATTTATTATCAATGTTTCGTTGAGTCGTGTCACCATCGTCAAGATCTGTGGAAAAGAACATAACTCTCTGTACAGATATAAAAGGCAGAAATTGCGATCAGTTACTACGAATGAAAGTCCATAGACAAAGCAGTTTTGGCAGTTACTTGATCAACATTCACGAAAACGTAAAAACACATTGCAATCAAATCACAGACGGGGCGGGGTAAGTGAGTGGTTAGTGGTTAACGCACTGGCCTCTGAATTTTCTGACTCGCCACGGGTTCAATCTTCACTCATTCCAAGATTTTGTTACTTGATCAAGACCAGTCTTGGAAGAAACGTTCCTGCAACATAAGTATCATTTATACATGTGTCGGCTTACAGCTACTTCTAACACATTAAGGCTACGTTTCGCTCTCCAGGCGAAAGTCCTCGAGAACGAAAAGTAGCCTTCGATAAATGTCTCGTTAGTTCCTCTGGCCTCATTTACCTAACATATTGTGGGTGATTCATACTGAAATATTAAACCAAAAAACTTTGCTTAGTGAATCACAGTGACGAAGTAAATGGCATGAAATACTGACACGATGGCAGTAGAAATATTTTGTAATAAGAGCCTTTATTCGCCCAGCAAGTAGACCTTTTTTCAAGTGACCAGTGAATTGGAAAAAAAAAAGTGTTCGCCAAACGTTGGCAGTAGAGAATCTCATTATATTGTTTTTGTGTGTCTGTTTTGTATTGAGTGATTTTCTTGTTGTCGACTTTAACAAGTCCGCCTTAGTTGCTGTCTTCAAGGTTAGCATCATGCACGCCTCGGGGGTAACAGTTTAACCTGAGCAAGGTCAAGCACCTTGGGATAAGATACAAGGCATCGTGGGGGTTCAAAATCACCTATTACGGTACCAGCCTCCTCAGATCATTCAGCTTCTCCTTGAGGATTGTGGTAATGGTCTGAGGACCCCGAGGTCCTCCCAGCAGGATGCTATCACTGGAGTCAGCATGGGAGCCAACGAATGAACCTGCATAATAATGATCTCGCTAAATCTGATCTCTCTAACGCAGACGCTAAATTATCTCCGAGAAGAATAAATTTATAAAGGCGGCATTTTATAAAGAGAATAAATTGGAATACAGCCACTAATAACGATACGGAATTAACATATACTCATTTATTATGATACGAGTGATAATTAAAGTAGCATAATTGACTGTCATATCTAATTAAAACTGCTAAATAAAATGAAAAGTTATTTACAGCTTAAATAAAAAGTTATGGTTTATAATTAAATAATGCAGGTGCTTATTACAGAGGAAATTGAAAACAACACTTGTTCAACCAGTGAAAAATCTGTATTTTTGCCTCTATGAATTTCTTAATGTAACTATATATTTTATAAATTATTATAATTATTAATACTGTATTGCATTTATATTTTTTATTGTTATCCATGTAGTGTGTGGTTTAATAGACCTTGGTAATAGATACCGACAAATTGGTTTAGAAGAACACGTAAGCAAATACTAGGACATGTTTAATTAGAAAGCGTTTCGGTCATGGGACCTTGATCACTTCTGACATCCGGAGGTTGTTAGAAGTGAGTGAGGTGTGAGTGACGCATGGTGACCTGAAGAATGCCATATTAGATGAGGACAGGTAGACGATGAGATCATGTGACTCCTGTGTTGCTGGGTAGGTGCTGCTTTGCTTGGTTGAGTATCTTGTATGTTAACGTTTTTGAAATTTTGTAGCTTCCAGTGTTACGCTCTATTGTGTCTGTGACGGCCTAACTATGTCCTATATTTGCTCAAGTCTTTTCTAAGCCATCTACGTAGAGTACCTTATTGTGTTAGCATTAATTTTTGTAATTTCAGATTTTGTTTTAGACACTGTTGAGAAATTCATTGACTCCTCAACCTTTGACCACTTGTGTGAGTTAATAAATAAGGTGAACGGGACAGTATGGCTTCCCTGTTGTTTTTTGAATATTTTTTTTCCATTGCTCTGAGGCCGCTTGTCTCAGTTCTAATGAACGTCGACGATCAGCCAGAATTTCCTTGAACTACTGACAAGTATTATAGCGCATCACCAACGTCAAGGCAGCTTCACCTTTAACGTCTAGAAAGGCAAAGTGCTTTCTTAGATATCTATTTTCTACGTGTTGTAGCCTCAGCTCTG